CTTATATTTTGAATTCCATGTACATATACTAGTACATACAAATTATGAAAATAAACTTGAAATTCAAACTAAAACGTGAAAAGTTGCGCGCTTCTGATAACGCCACTCTAATATTAGCATTGTATAATATAAAAATAGAATCATAAAAAAATGAAAACTACACGATAATAAAATTTCCTGACCCAAGTTCATATTCATACGAATATAAAGTAAAAATAAAAACAAAAATTTATGTTCTCTTAAAAAGCTTTAAAATAAAATTAAAATATTTTTACGAGTAGGTGAAAAAAAAAATTTAAAGTGTTATAATTTTTAATAAATCTTTAATAATACTTTTTAACAACGTTTCTGTTCAAAACACGTTGAATTTTTTATTCCAGTTAACCCATAATATTATTACCGGGCTATAAATAAAAATTAATACATTTCACAGAATAAAACTAATAGCCTGGCCATGTATCTCGTTATTTTACTCAAGAAATGAGAAGAAACTGGGTAACTATCATGTAATTGTATAATGAAATTTTCGAGCAATGGGAATAAATAATTCCATAATGTAATGTTGGGTATCTTGTTTTTTTTTTTCTAAAATGTATACAAAATTAATTGAAAGTTTATTGATTAGGCTCTAAAAAAAAAAATTCAGATCCTCTCCCTCGCAAATTTTTATTAGCACTTAAACCCTAGCAAGTGTGTAACCACACTGTAAATTTTAAAGCCTGTAGTAAAAAACGAATTTAGATTCATCTTGTAATAGAGAGGAACAACTCTTTTTTTCTTCGTTTTCATAAATATTTACTCTTTAGAAATGAATATTTTGACCTCCACTTTTATTTATTAACGTGCTCGTGATTTTGTCACGTCTTTTTTTCTACATATTTTGCATATACATTGTATGCATACATACAAACTTATGTATATATGTATACTTTTTTTAATCGCTTCTTTATAATTTATAGCTAAATGACTCTTTAAGAAATTTTGTGATTCTCCGTAATATGTACACATGTAAAATGGAACGTACTCCTTGCTAAGCTACTAAGGCTACAAATGGATTACGCAATTTATTTTATTTATTTTTTTTTTTTTGTCTTGTCGTTGACAACGAAACGATGCTTCCAAAAAATTCAATTTTTAGAGACGACAACAAGTTGAAAGACATTAAATATGCTTTTTTCTTCTTTTTGTATTCTCTAGAAACTACGAAAGCGTTCATAAATAATTATGGTTTCTTGTTTTTTATTTACATATATATGTAGGATCATGACGTTTCTTTTTTTCTTGATTTTAATATTAAATATAAACGAATGGTGAAGGTCGCTGACTCACGTTCAAAATATTGTTCATGATATTATAAATTTTTATCGAATTTTGTGGTATATTCAATACATTTAGAAAGGTGTTAGATAGATCAATTTTTTAAGATAAAAAAGTAAGTTGATATGGCCCGCACATAATCGATCAAATGAAATACGTACTTATGTGAACAATTTCTTGTTCAAGTCATTGAATTCTAAATAGAATTTGTAACACGAGAACTACGGAAAATGTTAATTATTTATTTTAGTTTGGAAAAAAATTTATTAAAGAAATTCATAGATCTAATATTCTCAAGAAGAATTAGAAATCCTCATCACATTATCACATCATCACAATGAATTTATAAAACATGTGTATATTACGCGTTTATAGAAAAAATAAAAAGAAAAAAATTAAAAAAATCAAGTTCTTATTAATATTATTACTGTTTTTAACCAATTTATAGATATGTTTCACATTTTTATGCAAGACTTAAATTTCAATAGAAAAATATAATTAAATTAGACCCTATTTAAAAGTGTCAATCTGTAGACAACATACTATTAGGACAGTGATAATGACTTAACGATATTCTTACCATCCGTTTTAGAGTTCAAAAAAATTTTGTTTACCTTTAAAATGGCCAATTTAATGTACCTTTTGTATATTTAAAATGAATACTATCGTTTTATATTAAAACCTATCGTTTACAAAACAAAATATATGTGATCCGACTATAGCCCTACCTGATTGGTAAAATACTCTGTATTGATACCAATAGTAACGTTATTACGCTAAATTACATTTTCCTTTTGTTCAATAAATAATAATAGTTATTACTTTTTATTATATACATACTATATTACGTAAAAAATATAAGTTACTACATACATAAGTATGTTATGTTAAACTAAAATATGTGAGGCACACACTGTGAAGTATAATTAAAATATTAATTTAAAAAAATACCTACAAATAAATGATGTTACGTGTACCATCACTAAGACCTTAGAGCATCAAACAATTTTAATACAATTTTTTTCTTGTTCTTATCATTCAATTTAAGATAGATATCGGTCTAAAATGAACTTCGAACAAAGTAATTTTTAAAGGAGTTTATTTATGACTCTTAATAAGGCATGTGTTAGTTTCTCTAAACTGGTACTATCAAAATTTATTACGCACTTATTATCACATAAAAAGCAGACTACGAAATACTCTTAGTTTCCTATTTTCTATAATTTTCATATTCGTAGAAACACGCAGGTACAAGATGAATTATTTTTTTAATTTATACATTCTATTTCAATTTTGATCAAAACTTAAGTGAATTTAAAAGTTGAAAGTCAGAAAAAAGAAAAATTTACTATAACCTCCGATTCCAAAAAATTAAATCTTGATCTGTTCACAATAAATTGAAAACTATGTATGTATAACCAAAATTTATGTACATAATATTTTGACAAAAAAAATTAGAAGACTAGAATTTAATTTCTTTATGGATATATGGATAACAAGCAAATAACTCTGGCTCTCATTTCTAACCAGATACAACATAATATCATACTTTGAAGAAAGATTCATTCAAAAAGATGCATTTACGTATGTTAATAATAAAAAAATTGTTTAAAATTTTCATACATAAGGTTAGATTCATCATTCGCGGAGGGTTAAATTTAGCCGGGTAGGCTGCAAAAAGATTAACTTTACACCTTTTTTCTAATAAAAAAAATTTACAAATACTCACATGCATATTGCATATTAAAAATCTAAATAAAATTAAGACTTACCGATAAAAATACTCAATTTAAAATTCAAATGAAGTTTTGCAATTAATGTTTTTCATTTGATATTGTAGAAATCAATAATGTTTGTACTTTGTTATCTGTCGCAACAAAATTACTTACGAAAATTATTTTTGTTCTTTGATTTCAACATATTAAATATTCGAATGAAAATATAAAAATATTCACAATTCTAATGTTTTAATATTAAACTAAACATAAAATTCAATTTTATCCCTTTTGACGTTTCGATTTTCAAATATTCTTCTTTTTTTATCTTTCAAATAATGTACATGTACATATACTTACTTGCTTTAAATGCCAAAAGAATTTTTTCTTTTTCTTATTCTATTTTGACTTTCTTCAGTTTCACAATGTCAGTTAAATAGCTGTGAGATACTTATACTTTATTTAATCACCTACAAAAAGTTTTGCCAGGTGATTTAAATTGTAAAATGTTCAAACTTGAAATTATAAACGTCAAAAAAAAATTAAAAAAGATGGACACACCAAAAACACACTTTAATTTGGATTTTAACACAGCTGAAAGTAATACAAAATGTTTTTAAAAAAATCTACTTTTATTTAGTGTTCTATTTTCCTAATAAGATTTAATTTAATGCCAAGTTTCGATTACACATTACATTTTCATCAGTACAAACTTAATCTAACCCAGCATTTACACATGCAAGTTACTTGCAAGCAAGTTTGTATAATATTAATTGTCAATTAGTTTTTCGAAATGTCAAATTACTTGCTATTATGACGTAGGCGTTTAGCAAGTTAATTTTTGTAAATGTCTTTGAGAAGAAAACAACTAGCAATATATATAATTTTTTATAAATTAGAAACCATAAGTTTGCTAAGTTTAATTTTTTCAAAACAAAATTCAAAAATTTTAAATTAAAAAAAAAAAAAATCAAAACAACAAATTTTTTTTTGTGAATTTCTCAATATGTCAAATTACTTGCTCAAATTACTGGCAGCAAAATTTTCTTGCAAGTTGAACTGCAAGTAAACAAGCAAGTAGAAATATTTCAATGTGTTAGTAAAATTTTTGTATGTATTGCAACTTTCTTGCAAGTAACTTGTACGTGTAAATGCTAGGTAAGATATAGTTGATTTGTAAAAAATTTTTTTAAAATGTGCTTTGAAATAGTCGATAAAGCCACATATCAAACCCAAATACGGAACCTGAATATGTAGATTTTAATTTTAGTTTTATTAGATATTTCAATATCACAGTCTTTGTGTTAATGTTTTCAGTTTTGAATAAATTGTTATTTGTAACTTTATGAATTGACTTAAAAACAATTTTCAATATTTTTTGGAAAAAAATTTTTGAGTTCATTTAAAATTTTGGAAATTCTAATTAATTATTATTTAATACTTAGTAAATATTTTTCGGAAACTGCGTATTTTCATTTTCATTAGCCTTCCTACATATTAAGAACTTTTTTCTCCATATTTCGTATTATAAAGTTACTTAACGATCTTTCGTATTTTAAAATTACTAATTACTAATTAAAAGGTTTATTTAGAGATTGATTACCGTAGTTTTAGATGAGCTAATGTTCCTTGAACTAGTGAGAATAACTATAAATAAACCATTTTAGAGATGGAAATACAAAGCCGTGTCCGCAATTTCAACTTAAAATTATTTTCAAAAAAAATTTGTCATTATGGATACTTGATAGTTATAATGCATAAGTGCCATGACAATAAATATTGAAGCACAAACTAACTCTCTAAATTGGTAACATATTTTTTTTGACGTTTTTGAAAAACAAAACTTGTATTTTTTTATCTCTCTATATGGCAGCCCTGATTGATATTTTAAATAATAAATATCATTTGGTAACACTATACATCCTGATGCAAATATTTTTAAATTTGAATCGAATTAAATTGGCAAAGTTAGAAGTTAATCCATTCTATAGAATTGCTTTTCATTCTGCAGAAGATTTTCAAGCAATAAAATTAAAAAATGCATCAAAAAATAGATGTTGAAGTTTCCTTATCATCTCCAAAATCATCGTACAATTTGAATATGTTGAAACAGCAATTATTGGAAATATTATCAAACTGCGAACCCGCAGAGTTCGAAAAAGATTTGGCCAATAATTATAAAAAAAATCCTGATTTGGAGGGAAGCATTCAGTCAATAACATTACCAGAAAATTTAAATGGGAAGCCTGATGATATTGAGAGTTATAATTTTTACTTTTATCACCTTTATAGCAGATCATGTGAAGATGAAATGATTGATAACTTAGATGACGAAGACGAAACATGCGCATCAAATCACTGGATTTTACCAAATAAGTAAAATTATTTAGGAAAACTTTATAACATTTTAATATTCATATCTTTAAGGGAATTTGAAGGACTTTATGAAAGTTTAGTTTACGATAATCACATTAAAGACGAAATATTAAGATTTGCTCAAAGTGCCATAATTTTTGGAAATTATAATGTTAATAAGAACCTAATTAGTTGTAATCGACTTATATTACTACATGGACCACCAGGAACCGGGAAGACAAGTTTGTGCAAAGCAATTGCTCATAAGTTATCAATACGTTTAAATTCAATCTACAAGTTTACACATTTTATTGAAATAAATAGCCATAGTTTATTTTCAAAATGGTTTTCGGAAAGTGGAAAACTTGTTGCAAAATTGTTTGCCAAAATTCGAGAAATGATTTCACAACCAAATAGTTTAGTGTGCGTTCTGATTGATGAAGTAGAGTCTATAGCATATGACAGAGGCAGTTTATCTGGTGAACCTAAAGATGCCCTGCGAGTGGTTAATGCTGTTTTAACTCAATTAGATCAATTGAAACATTATTCTAATGTTATGGTGTTTGCTACTTCTAATTTAATGGATACTATCGACATAGCTTTTATTGATAGAGTGGACTTGAAAAAACTTATTACTTTCCCATCTGCAAAAGCAATATTTAATATCTACATTTCGGCAATAAAAGATTTAAGCAGAGTTGGTTTAATAAATGTACTGGATAATAATATAAAAACATTTGATGATCTACAACTCATAAATAAAGCAGATAATACCAAAACTGATGACCTTCTAAAGGAGATTGTTGATGCAAGCGTTGGGCTTAGTGGCCGAGTTCTTAGAAAAATTCCATTTTTAGCTCATACATCTATTCATCATTCACCAACTCAAATAAATAAAGTAAATCTTGATTGTTTTTTAAGTTGTATGTTAAAAGTTATACATGAAAGAAAAAGTGCAAATTAAATAATACCATAAATTTTATAAAAAAAAAATTTACTTATAAAAATTTGATTTATACACAATTTGGTAATCGCAACAAAATTGTTGACAATAAATGAGAACCTAAACCTTATGAGAGTTAAATAACAAATAATTTAATTTCAGAAATTAAATTTTTGATAATACACTAAAACATTTCTATTCTTACAACTCTTAAAACTAAAATTATTGCATTAATCAATATCTCTACCATGTATCGATTGGCAGTGCCTACGTAAATGAGATTTTTTTCCATAACCTTTTGTGCAAAATTCACACAAGTATCTTTTCTGTCCCAAATGTAGCATTTCATGTGGATCAAGCTCATATTTAAAAGCAAATTTTAAATTACAAAACTTGCATGTGAATTCTCTGTCTTCATAACTTAGATGTATAGTTTTTGAGTGTTTGTTTAACGCACCTGAAGTTTTGAATCTGAGTCCACAATCTACGCATAAATGCTTGCACTCATTATAATGAGCGTAAAGTTCATGGTACCGCTTTCGTTCTTTACTTTTAAATATTTTACCACAATTTTCGAATGTACATTTCACCTTTTGACCAGTAGTATGCTTATTTGATATATGAGCTTTTAAACTACCATCGTTATTAAATGTTGCAGGACATATTTTACATTTAAAAGGTCGATCATCTGTATGTTTTCTTAAATGTTTCTTTAATCCAGATGAATACTGAAAACTCATACCACATTCTTTGCAGGTATTCAAAAATTGTTCATGCTTAATGACATGTTGCTTATAAAATAACTCTGTTTTAAAAATTTTCTCGCAATATGTACAAGTTAGTATTTTATCTGGTTTATCGAAAGTTTTTTCACCAATTATCGGCAATCTTTTAACAACATATTCTCCTAAGCGTCGTTTTTCTTCACTGTACTCTTTGTGGTAATTTGGAACGTGTGCATAAACATCTGGAACCACCATAAAGCATACGGGACATTTCCCACATTTTCTACGTGCTTTATGTGATTCGAATGTTTTTACTGAGAATGATTTTCCGCAGTAATTGCACATTGTTTTCTCTCCTTCATAGTTTTCGGGTGCGCTTTCTTCTTCCTTTTCCTCCTCCGTTTGATCATTTTTCTCTAGTTCTTCATTATTCGTGATAACAAATTCTTCTTTTTCAGGGTTAATTTTCTTACTTGATTGCTTCTTTTGACCACTTTTCACCCCAGAACTACCCTTTCCAGGAATTATAGCTTTTCTTAAGCGCCTCTTTTCCTCACAATATTCTACATGGTTTGTTTTCAAATGTTTATATAAATCCGTATATTTATAAGAACAGACAGGACAAGGCCCACATTTTTTACGTGCTTTGTGTTTTTCTAGTATATCAACAGGAAATGCTTTGTCACAATGCTCACATACACCATTTTCAGAATTATCATTAATAGAAACTTCATCCTGATCCTCCTGCATTTGACCCTTAATTTCAATCAGTGGTTCTTCAACTTCATAATTTACTTCTTCAAAATCATACTGACCCACGTCATCCATAGATTGATCGTCATTTTCCGAAAATTCCTCTTTTTTCATTTCATCTGCTGAAAAAGTGGTTTCTCCCCAGTTGGATTCATTTTCCTTTTCATATTCTTCCACATTCTCTAGTTTCACCTCTCTTTCGGTGCATTCCGAATTATTGGCGTTTTTAATTATACTTCTATCTTTTATCCCCTTTTCTTTAGAATTATTAGTGCCTATTTCTTTTTCTGTACACAGCGGATCTAGATGTAACTTTAAGACATGCTGCTGAAATTCACTATAGTCAATTATTTCTTGTTCACAACGAGTACAAGTTATGAAAAAGATTTTATTTTCTCTTAAAAAAACTTGACCGTAGGGTTTCATTTTTAATCTACTAACTTTGTTTAGAATTTATTTTTTTATTAAAATTTTTATTTTGTTATTTTTCATAATTTTGGTACATACTTTTGACAACAGTAAAGGTTCGAGTCTCGTTAATTTATTTTCAATACTCCTTTACTTAGAATAAAACTTTCGATCATTATCGAAAATCTTAATGCTCCTGGTTTCTAGATTATAAAAAAATTAATTTTTCAATCGCCCTTAAATATTCCTATTTGTATACATATATGTACAATAGGATATCTCTGCTCTAAGGTACTATAACTAATTTTACATACGGCAAAATCTTAGATAGTTTACACATACGACAAAATCTACTTTGACAAAATCGTACTTTTTACATATACGACAAAATTTCATATCGACTATGTGATTCCACTCAGACTTTATTAAATTTAAAATTTTATATAATAACTCTGAAAAAAGCTTTATAACTCTTTATATTTCATTTCGCTTTTTATTCACTTTCAAATTTGAATTCTTCGTTTTTATAATAGATATTTCATTTTCCAATAAGATTACTCGTTTTTCCAATGGGATTTTTGCATTTTTCTCAGATTATCAACTGATCGTTTCGCCTCACCTTCAAAAAACAAAGTGAATAAAGTCCTTGATATTGTCGTATATGTTAGAATACCTTGCAAACTTTATTCCAATTTGTGCAGAAAATAATAATATGGTGACACTGTATTTTAAAAGTTTAAATTTATGTAAAATGAAACGTTGAAATGTTTTTAGAGACATGTCACGGTTTTAGCAACATAAAATATGGAAAAAATATCCCGCCTAAGTAAACGGAGTTTTCACCATTCATGGGTGTGTGGTGAGATGAATACAAAGACGATCGATTTTAAATTTGCAAATTTCTCTTTACATTTCATAACGCAAAGTTAGCTCACATTTCGCCTATTTCATACCCAAACAAAAACCTTGCATTTTGCTTATAGTTAAATTGAAGAGACTTTGTTATATTTTCCTTTATTTTATACAACTGAAATTGTACTTTTCAAATAAGTCATCAGTACTACACGTCGATACATCGATTATTTTGAACTGGTTCTTTGGTTTTAATAAATAATTAATTTGTTGTGCCAACCCTTGAGATTGTTTGCTGAATTCAGTAAACTAAAACAAATTATAATCAAACAGTGAACTAAAACAAACTAAAAAAATTAAAATATAGTTCAATAAACAAAAGCTATCAATAACAAATTTTTTACAAATATACCACAATCATAGATATATTTATTAAATAATAATGTAATTTGTCCAACAAAGGTGACATCATATATGACATGCATTTACAATTAACTCTATTGAATTAAACTTTACAAGACCAATGGTATCAAAATGTAAAAAATGAGCAAGAGTGCATACAAAAATAAACCTTGATGAAATCCAAAACCGAAATGAAATCGAAAACCGAAATGAAATCAATGCAATAGAGCAAGCAAGATGCACTTTCAGGAAAATGCTGAAAGTAAGAACTTTAAAATGCTATGTATGAACAATTTTATTGTATTTTGTAGAAACCTGGACTTTAACCAAGAGAGAAGAAAAAATAATAGAATATGTGTGATGAATCCATAGTTGTAAATATCTCAATTTTCTTTGTATTAATTCAGGAATCATTAAAAATATAAGAGTACAGAAAAAACATGAAAAACAATATGCAAAAAGTTGTAAATTTTTTAGCATATGTATGTATGCATCTACGTAAATACATATATGAAAGTTAAAATTACTATATGAAGAAATTCTTATTACACATAATATGTATTTCTTTAATAGAAAATTACATTTACTGACTCTTTTCTACTTCGACATACATGGCTCCTTTTCGTTTATGGAAACGAAGATGCTCTTTAAAAGATTTTTTGGTTATATATCCTTTATTACATATCCCACAAAAATATTGGTTTTGTCCTATATGAATCATTTCATGTTCATTTAGTTCGAAATTAAAAGCAAATTTTTTCTCACAATATTTACAAGAAAATGGTCTATCTTCATATTTCATATGCTTTTTTTTTACATGCTCATTTAATGCACCTGACGTTCGAAATATTAACCCACAGTCCTTGCACATTCTTCTGTATTTGCTAGTATGCGCGTAAACTTCATGGTATCTTCTTCTTGCTTTTGTTTTAAATACTTTATCACAATTCTCATAGGAGCACTTCAAATTTAAACCTTCTGTATGTCTAGTTAAAATGTGCTCTTTCAAGTTACTACTTACAGAAAATGATACAGGACATATTTTGCATTTATACGGTTTTTCTCCAGTATGTATAAGCAAATGTTTCTTTAATTGGTCAAATCGCAAAAAACGTTTTTCGCAAAATTTACAAATATTATTTTCTTCATGCTGTTTTATGTGCTTATTATAAGTAGTTGCCGTCTTAAATATTCTGCTACAATATATGCATTTTCTAACAAAACCATTTGAAATATTTTTTAATCGATTTGCATTTTTTGTTTGAGATTCCTGCTCTATTCTCTTCATTATTAAGTCTGTTTCGGAAAGTGGAACCCTTTTAAAAAGCTTTTCCTTTAATAACTTCTTTTCTTCTGCATATTCCTTGTGATATTTTGTCATATGTGTATTCAAATCTCCAACGATGGAAAAACATAAAGTACATTTTCCACACCTGTATTCTTGTTTATGTGCTTCTAAGTTTATTGGCGAAAAAAGTTCACCGCAGTATATGCATGCTAGATGGATTTTATTTTCATCATTTATTTGATCGAGATTCCTGAGGTTTGAATTTTTCGTAGAAAGCGACGTTTCAGTTTCTCCACTTTTTAATTTCTGAATTTTATTTCTTTCCCAAGTAGGTTCTCCTAACATTTTTTTATTTTCGTAATAGGCTTTATGAAAGCGTTTTATATGAGCGTATACATCCGCCTTGGGCAAAGAGCAAACTGGACAATATCCACACTTTTTACGCTCTTTATGTCTTTCAAAGATTTCTAAAATATAATAAGGTTGATCGCATCTTGAACAATGTATAGGTTCATTGTTAATTAGATTATTATCATAATTTTCGTTTTCTGTTTTATCATTCGTTAGATGACTTGAATCGTCACTTTCTGAAAAATAGTTTTCGTAATTTCTTTTTAAACTTGTTCCAATTTTCGTGCCTAATTTTTCAAATAAAGACTGTTCAATATTATTTTTTTTATTTGTAAACTCTACAGATTCTGCTTGTACATTAGAATTCGCTTTTTCACACTCTAATTTAGTGGTTTCAACATTTTCATTTTTATCATCGTTTTGGTAGAGGATGCCTGAATTTTTAGTTTTGACAGGAAATAATGTTCCAATTTCATCATTTGATTCAAAAATTTTAATTATTCCCCTAACAGGTTCACCTAACTTCCTTTTATTTTCATAATATTCTGTGTGGAAGCGCTTCACATGTGCGTATACATCTGCTTTTGGCAAAGAACAAACTGGACAATATCCACATTTTCTGTGCGCTGTATGTCTTTTGAAATTTTCTAAAATATAATATAGTTGATCGCATCTTTTACATCGTATGGCATCTTTGTTCTTTGGGTTATCATAATTTTCATTTATTGTTTTATTTAAACCTCCACTTTGTGAAAAATAATTAAACGATGTATAAGATTGGTTGTTATTTTCATCATTTTTGAAATGTATAGATTCTGTTTGCAAATTTGGAACAGAATTTAAATATTTGAGTTCATTAGTTTCAATGTTGTTAATTTTATTTTCAACTTTATCATATGAGAGTGCCTGTATATGATTTTCTAAAACATGATTTATATATTCATTATAGTCTTCGGATATTCTTTCACAATTTGTACATATTAATATAAAATTGTCTTTATGTGTCAAAAACACTTCACCAAATTTTTTCATTTTTAATTTTATAATTTTATCAAATTTATTAAAATTCTGATATGATTCATTGACAGTTTGATAACAATTGTTTACTTCCTCAGGGGACTGCACAGGATTTATTGGTATGTCATATTATAATGTGAAGCTCAGTTATCATGGCTAAGGTTGTTATAAAAAAAAATAATGTACTAAAATTAATGTTTCATATATTTTGTTTTGCAAGTAAACGACTGATTTTTAGTATGGTTTTTTATTTCAAATTTCACATTTATTTATTTTTTTATTTATTTATTTAAATTTCAATTTTTACTAAATTAAATATTTTTATATAATGTATTAAATAATAAATGTCAAAATAAAATTGTGTCATCCAGTTCAGCTCAGCTGGCATTAGGATGACAATGAGCCAAAGTTTATTTGTTAACACATTAGGTTGTGTTGTCTTTTGTCAATTGTTAACTTCTGCAACTCCTCCATTCCAATTTTCAACTCCTTTGTATGCTTAAAATAAATTTCTGAGCAACATATGAAAAATTTAAATTTTAAATTTAATTCTGATTTAAATATATTTTAGAGTAATTCCGTATCTTTGCGAATCACTATGTCAGGCATTATAAAAATATTGTGAGATATTCCCCTCTATTATGTATATCGGTATCGGCCGATAAACGATAATTTATCGGCAAAATTTTGTGTTTGTATTACCAACATTGTTTATCGGTAAATTTTATCGGAGTCGGGAAAGCTTTTTTTCCCTGTATAGGAAACGTATTAGCTGGTATTATGAAAACGATAAATTGTCGGGTTTTCACCGATTTAAAAGCGGGTACAAATTTTTAGACGACAGATTTTTTTTTTGTAAAATCTTCATTTTATCAAGGAAACTGGTGTAATTAATTGCTTTTTTAAAATGTAAGCATTTTTTCTAAATTATTTTCTTTCAAAATGTTATTCATATATTTTATTTAGGAGTAAAATCGTAAGCAACAAAAAACAAATTGCGCGGTTAGTAGAAAAAATGGAAGAGGACTTAAACCTGGCAAGGAATGATAATCTGAAATTCTGGATAAACCTAAAAAATGTGTACATATTATATAAATAATAAAATAAAATAGGTACATAAACATACATTTTGTTGTCTAAATCCAATGGATTAGTTGAATCTCTTATATGTCGTCTTTGAATAGCTTGCGTTTCTTCACTTTCAAAATATAATGCACGTGACATTTTCCCGATATATGTATACTTTTATTTTACAAATTTAACAGAAAATAATTTTCTTACTACAACTTTTTAGCACATCAAAACCAAATTCAAAATAGTTTTAAAAATTTTTTGAAAATAACTTTTGAAAGAAAACAAATGTCATTAGAAAAAAAAACATTTTCTCCAATTTACAAAAACAAAAATTTGTATGAAAAAGCTTCTTTTAATCGGTTGAAATATTTTTATCGGTATCGGTTCATAATACAGAAGAAACCCAAAACCGATGAGAACTGCCGATAATATATCGGCCGATACCGATGTTCATAATAGAGGGGATTGAGAGCAAAAAATGGTACACTGAGACACTGAGCAAAAAAATGTGCCGAAAATAATTTTAGTAATGCCATATACATTTATCGGTCCTGAAGTTTTTTTCTAAATACTGCGATGAGCCAGTTGCATAAATGTGTATTATAAATGTTTTATGTTTTCGAAGCATTCTGATAAAAATATTTTTTTATTTTTTTTCGTTACATTTTTGGAATCTTTGTTGCTTTCATTTTATTTACACATGTCACAAAATGAAAGCTGCCCATAAAAATAAATTTTTTACAATCTTTCTTCTTACAGATTTTTCAATGCGTGTTTAACACTATTGTGCTAAAAATGCACTTAGTACAATATTGTATAAAATCTGTTATGCCAAGTTTGGCATTAAAAACAGTAATATCCCAACACTGTTCCAAATCTGTTTTTCTGTCAGCCGTAGTTTTGTCAATGTTGTTTTTATTTTGATTCGAATTGTTATTAATTTAAAAAAATATTTAAGACTTGGGAAAAAATCTAATAATTTTTTTAAACAATTCTAAAATGAAGAAATATGGGGAAATTTTTTTAACATCTAAAACATGTTTTACTTTAACCTGTACGCATTGTGAAAGAGCAACTGAAAACTACAATGAATTCTTGAAACATGTTTTAGAAAACCATATAGATCCGCTTTCGTGTGACATTAAAATTGAAGAAAACCTTTCTGAATGTGAAAACCCTATTGTAAATCTACAAGAAGAAGCAGTAGAATTTAAAAGTGAAAATCATGATATTGAAGAATGTGTATGGAAGAACTTAAACACCAAATTTGATACAAGTTGTAAAACGGACGAGGATAATATTTTTTCAGAAACTGAAGTTTCAATTAACCCATACGTCGATAATGCAATAAGTAAAAAATATGATACCCCAACGAATAAAAACGTCATACATTGTAAAATGTGCAATCAGCTGTACAATAATTTAGAGCTTTTTGAAAAACATAAATCGCGTAATAAGTATGGGTACTGTCCAATTTGTTCTGTGTCAATCGCAGATGTATGTTCGCATATAAGAAACTTTCATAAAGATTATTACGAAAATGGGAAAACGTTACGGGAACCTGTTAGAGAAACAAAGGAAGGCCAGGAGCCTGAGGATAAAAATAAAATATTACCAACCCTTGGAAATGAAAACAAATGCAATCTTAATAGAATAAATGATAAAGATCCAAATATTGAAGGCAGTTCATCAGAGCACGTGAGCCAAAAACCGAATTTACAAGAGGAAGCCACAGAATCCAAAAGTGAACCAGAAAGCAGTGATGAAATATCAAAGGGGGAAGTGGGTACCTTCAACACGGAGATTGATAAAAATAATGGTGACATGAATTTTTCGGAAAGTGAAGATTCCAGTTATATGTGCGCTGATAATATGATAGTCGAAAATCATAATCCTGCAGAACAAGATATAATGCATTGTCCGAGGTGTGACCGACTTTATTCTCTTGAAATTTTAAAAAGACATAAAGAGCGTAAAAAGTGTGGATATTGTCCAATATGTTCTTTACCAAAATCAAATGTATACGCACATATAAAACGTTTCCACAGGGATCATTACGAAAATAAAAAAAATTTAGTAGAATCTTGGCTAAGTAGTAAATATAAGAAATTGAAAAATGAGAAAACAGGAATATCACTTCCTTCTAAAATTGTTAACTCAACTAGTTTCGACCAAAAAAATGATGCAAATAGTGTCCATTCCGCATGCGAATATTGTGGTAACTTATATTCTCCATTAAAATTGGAAGCCCATCTTCGAACATACAGATGTGGGAAGTGTGTGTTATGTGGTTCAATTGTTAGAAATTTATATAAACACACGATGAAATATCATAAGGAATACGCAGAAGAGAAAAAATTACTAGGAGAGAAAATCTTTCAAAGAGTACCACTTTCTGAAGTGAGTTTATTAATGCAGAAGCAAGAAGCTCAAAAAAAAACTGAAAAACAGGAGGAATTTATAAATGACAAGGATAATATCCGCAAGGTTTGCGATTATTGTGGTAAACAATTTTCTCCATTAAAATTGAAAAACCATCTAAAATTGTACAGATGTGGGAAATGTGTTTTATGTGGTTTAATCGTTGGGGATTTGTATATCCATATGGCGAAAAATCATAAGGAATACGCGGTGGAGAAGAAACTATTAAATGAAAAACTTTTTAACAGAATACCCCTTTCCGAAGCGCACTTATTAATGGAGAAGTCAGAAGGAGAAATTGTAAAAAAAACTGAAAATCAGTGGGTGTGGGATCCAGTAAATGGTAAAAATAAAATCCTTTCACAATGTGTATATTGTGGCAAACTATTTGCTCCATTAAATTTTGAAGCTCATCTAAGAACATACAGATGTGGAAAATGCATTTTATGTGGCTCAATCGTTACAGATTTGTATTTACACATGACGAAAAATCACAAGGAATACGCAGAAGAAAAGAAGCTGTTAAAAGAAAAGCTTTTTAATAGGGTACCACTTTCCGAAACTGACTTGATGATGAAGAAGTCAGAACAAGAAACTTCAAAAGGAAATGGTAATCAATTGAAAAATAGTTCTGTTGGTTACGCTATGAAATGTTTATATTGTAAAAAAATATTTAAATTGAAAACTTATTTTATAAAACATATGAAACATCATGAAGAAAATAACGTTTGTAAATTTTGTAAAAAGCGGTTTTTGCGAGCAGAACATCTTAAAAGACATTTGCTAATACATACTGGCGAAAGACCATACAAATGCAAAGTTTGTTCAGCGTCTTTTAAAGAGCCTACTCACTTAAAGGAACATTCTCAAGCAAAACACACAGAAGGTTTGAATTTCAAATGCACCTATGAAAACTGTGGTAAAGAATTTAAAACAAAAAAGAGAAGAAAATATCATGAAAATTACGTGCATACAAGAAAATATCGAAGAATGTGTACCGAGTGTGGGTTAATATGCCTAAATGCAAGTAGGTTGAGTGCGCATAAAAAAAGGAAGCATACTGAATATGATGATAGACAATTTTCTTGTAAATATTGTGAGAAAAAATTTGCTTTCAATTGCGATCTAAATGAACATGAAATGATTCATGCAGGAGAAAAACAATATTTTTGTGAAATATGTAACAAAGGATATATAACTAAAGGCTCGTTTCAAAAGCATTGTCGTTCTCATAAAAAAAAAGCAGCTATAAATGCCGAAATAGAAAAGAGTTAGCTAATGTAATTTTGTTCCAACGCTGGAAGATTATAACCTAAGGAGTGTAACGAAATTTTTCATGTTTTGTTTATTACTCTAATGGTTTTGAAAATTATTTGTAATGCATTTCTACAATACTCAACTTTCATATCAAGGATATCTTTATTCAACTGCCAACGGTTTTTCTATGAAAAATCTTATAGAAGTAAAAATTATTTATGACAATTCAATAAATTATTTTATTTAATTAAGATTTTTAAAATTGAAATGTCACACATATGTATGTATGTACATAATATTTATTTTTTATTTTTCATAAATCCCAAAAAATTTTTTATAGTACCAAATTTAAGAACAAATTTATTTTAAAAATAAGAGTGAAAATTTATTGTCATTAATTTTTTTTTTGATTTCTGATTTGGATCGAATTGAAATCGTGATATTTTTACTTCTAACCTTTTTTAATTTAATTTCAATTTCAAAGAGTTCGTGAAGATTTTTTTTATCGAATCTTGAAAAGGAAAATTTTGAATAAAATAAAGATTCTTGGGTTAACCTATTTGGCAGTACTGAACCCTATTTAAATTTGACAGTTTTGAATTTCACAGCATACTCTTTTTTAAAGAAAAGAACAGCGCCAATAGGTACTAACTGTTGCAACACGAACTATGCTTTGCAGACTGCAGTACTCTCCAAGTTGGCTGCCTTTGCTTTCAAGTTATCTGTGGTAATAGTGCAAGTGCATAATAAACACAATATTTATTTCTTAATCTTGCCTAGTTCCTAGTTTAGATTTTATTTGGTTCAAATTATTATTATTTTATAAATATTATGCATAAGATATTGCAACAAATTCTAATAAAATTTAATAAATCTTTTAAACAAATCTAGAATGGAGAAATACGGGGAAGTTTTTTTAACATCTAAAACATGTTTTACATTAATCTGTACGCATTGTGAAAGAGCAACAGAAAACTACAATGAATTCTTGAACCATGTTTTAGAAAACCATATAGATCCACTCTCGTGTGAACTTAAAATCGAAGACTGTCATTCTGAACATGAAAATCCAATTTTAAATCTACAGGTTGAAGTTCTAGAATTGAATACTGATAATGATGATTCTGAAGAATTTATATGGAAAAACTCAAACATGGAAGTTGATAAAAGTTTTAAAATAGATGATTTGGAAAATGATTTTTCAGATAGTGAAGATTCAAGTTATCAGCATACTGATAATGCATTATATGGAAACTATGATAGTCCAATAAAAAATGTCTTACATTGTCAAACATGCAACCAGCCATATTATAATTTAGATGTTTTTGAAAGACATAAAGCACGTAATAGGTGCGGATATTGCCCAGTTTGTTTAGTGCCAATCGCAGATGTATGGGCACATGTAAAAAATTTTCATAAAGATCGTTACAAAGATAGAAAAATGTTACGGCAGTCAGTTAATGAAATGAAGGAATGCCGGGAGTCCGAAAATGAAACTGAAATATTACTAACCATTGGAAAAGCAAACTCATGCAACATCAACACAACAATTGATAAGAATGAAAACTTTGAAGGCAGTCCATCAAAGCACGTGAATCAAGAACCAAATTTACAAGAAGAATCCACAGAATTCAAAAGTGACAACGAAAGCCTTGAAATATATATAGAGGAAGTGCATAGCTCTGATACGGAGATTGATATAAAATCTAAAAATAATGGCTATATGAATTTTTTAGAAAGTGAAGATCCCAGTCATACATGCGCTGATAATAGAATAAACGAAAATGATAATCCGGATGATCCGGTGTATTGTGTTTATTGTGGTGAACTATTTTCTCCATTGTACTTAAAAGCCCATTTAAAACAATACAGATGTGGGAAATGCACTTTATGCTCTTCAATCGTTGGAAACTTGTATGCTCACATGACAAAAGATCATAAGGAATACGCAGAAGAGAGGAAGCTATTAAAACAAAAAATTTTTGAAAGAGTACCACTTTCCGAAGCGGAATTATTAAAAAAAATAGAAGAAAAAACAAGAAGTGAAAATGAAAATCAATTAAAAAATATCTTCGTTACGAAATGTATATATTGTAAGAAAATATTTAAGTCAAAACCTCATTATATGAAGCATATGAAACGTCATGAAGAAAATAATACTTGCAAATATTGCGGAAAGCGATTTTTGAGATTTGATAGATTAAAATATCATTTAAGAATGCATACTGACGAAAAGCCGTACAAATGCAAATTTTGTTCAGCGTCATTTAAGGATCTCGAACACGTGCGAGAACACTCTCGAACAAGACACACGGAAGGTTTGAATTTGAAGTGCACCTATGAAAACTGTGATAAAGTATTTAAAACAAAAAAGAGAAGAAAATATCATGAAAATTACGCGCACACAAGTAAATATAGAAGAATGTGTAACGATTGTGGATTAATATTTCTAACATCAAGTAGATTGAATGTTCACATGAAAAAGAAGCACACCAAATATGAAGATAGAAAATTTTCTTGTACACATTGTGAAAAAAAATTTCCCTTCAAATCTGATTTGACTGACCATGAAAGGATACACTTGGGAAAAAAACAATTTTTCTGTGAAATATGCGAGAAGGGATTTGTAACAAAAAAATCTTTTTATAAGCATAAACAATATCATAAAAAAAAATCAGTCACGGATTTAAAAGCAAATTAACAAATTTGTTTGCATGTGTGTACAGTATTTTCAAATCAATTTTAATTTTAAAATTTTCCACCAAATAAAATTGTGTTACTAATTATTTCTAATTTTGATTCTTTAGTTTTTTATTAATTTCAGGATGTATCTTGATAAAATTGTCATATCCATTTACTACTTTATAACTGCTTTACACCAGTGACTTGCCAAAAATTTAATAACTGTGGTCATATTAATATGGTAATATGAAGCAGATAATAACACATCATAAACAAAATATAATTATTACAAAAATTTAGAAGACCCACTCACAGGACAATTTTTATCGTGATGCAGTATCGATAAAAAAACACAACAAAATAACTAAGAAGTCAAGCTTAGATGAAAAGAACATATCAGAAAAAGAAAACAGAATTATAAAACAAATATAGATATACAACATCCAGCTCTGGACAAACGTATCTGAAACACATACAAACGTAACAGGACAAAGCCCTTCGTAATATGGTTTGTGTTCCGTGAATTTTCATAATGGTGACGGTTGTAGAGATTTGGATACCGCCAAAGTGAGTGATAAAAAAAGAACTGCATCATAAAACAAAAAGCGCGTTTAAAGTACCATATAAATATTAAGGCCCCTGTATTTGTGCAGTGTATGTATTGTTAAGACAGCAAACGAACGAGATCTTTCAATTTAGCCTAAAGTGCACTTCGTGTCTTCCTTCATGGAGTTTAGAAATAAAAAACGATAGAACAAAACTAATTTTTAGTAAGTTTGACTAGTTTTAGGACAACTCAACTGATAGATTTGACAATTGCCCACATCTCTTTGTTTTATATTGTATGAAGAATAGGCGAAGAAGTACATTTTGGTACATTGATTTGTTATCCCTTTTAGGTGCGCATTTGAACAAATACCACACATTGTAAACAATAGAGATCATTTTTAAAAGTAAATTTTTGTTTGAGTTTCATTAATGAAACACACAACACCATCATATTTGAAGGGAAGAAAACCTTCAAGTTATTTTCAATTATTTTTGAAAAAATATAAAGTGTTCGTATCTTGCAAGCATTTAATCCTGTTCCAGAAAATTTTGCAATAAGAATCGCTCGTGATATTTAGATTTTCCTAATACGTCCTTCAAAGGTTTCAAATAAAAACTCAAATTTAAATATCCTAATCTGTTTTAATTACTATATTAGCTGCGGTTCCATGGACAGTACGGCAATGTCTATCAAAAGATTTTCTAGCTATAAATCCTTTAGAGCAAATTTCACAGTGGTATCGGTTTTTCCTTAGATGCATCATTTCATGAGGTGTTAATTCAAATTTGAAAGCAAATCTCTTTTCACAAAATTTACAAGGAAACGGTCTGTCTTCATATTTAATATGCTTCTTTTTTGTGTGTTCATTCAATGAACCTGAATTCTTAAAGGTTAAACCACATTCTTTGCATAAATTTTTGTACTTGTTATTGTGAGTGTATTGTTCGTGATATCTTCTTCTCGCCTTTGTTTTAAATATTTTATTACAGTTGTCATATGTACACTTCAAGTTCAAACCTTCTGTGTGCCGATTTATGAAATGATCCTTTAAATTACCACTTTCATTAAATGATGCAGAACATGTTTCACATTTGTATGGTTTTTCACCGGTATGCAATCTTAAATGAGTTTTCAAGCGGGATATGTGTTTAAATCGCTTTCCACAAAATTCACAGGTGTCCGACTTTGTTTCGTGTTGTTTTATATGTTTCATATAATGTGTTTCGCGTTTAAATATCATTTCACAATAAATACATGAAAGTTTAATATCTAAATTTCTTGTAGTTTTTTTTAAGGGACTAAAATTTCCTTGAGTTTCATTCTTTATGTTTTTCGTTAATAGTTCTTCTTCAGTGAGAGGTAATCTTTTCACAATCTGTTCGCACAAACTTTTTTTTTCTTCCACGTATTCTTTATGAAATTTGGGAAAGTGTCTATATAAATCTGCTACAATTAAAAAACATAGAGGACACTTTCCACACTTCCTCTGGCGCTGATGCGCCTCAAAATATCCTGGAGAAAATGATTCTCCGCAGTATAAGCAACGTACCTGAGTCTCATTTTTATTATTTTTATTTAAAGTGCTTTGATTTACAACTTCATTTTTAGTTTTTTCTTTAGAATCGAGAGCTTCACTCTTTATAATGGTTTCCTCTGACTTTTTTTTATTTTCGTAATAATCTTTGTGGTTACATTTTTTATGTTGTGCCAAACTTCCATATTTTAAGGAACAGATAGAACAACAACTATTTTTAAAACTGTAATATTTATTACATATTGTATTCTGTATTAACCCATCTTCAATCGGGTTTTTGCAATTTTCCTTGTCGATGTTGGAGTGATGAGTTGAATCACTTCCCAAACTGTCATTATCTTCTCCATTTTTTTTAACACTTACATCAATTTGCATGATTGATTTAGAATTGTAGATAACACATTGCGATTTTTCGTTATTTACATCACATAAATCTACAGTTTTAATTATATTTTCAAACTTGTTACATGAAAGTGGATCTATGTGATCTTCCAAAACATGACTTAAGAAATCCTTATAATCTTCTAGCGTTTTTTCACAATGTGTACAAATTACTATAAAAGTTCTTTTTGATGTCAAGAAAACTTGTCCATATTTCTCCATTCTTAAATTCGTTACTTTAAATTTAATTAATTCTTTGCTTTCATTTGTTTTTGCCAACAATTATGTATTTATTAATTTTGGATGTGTTACACAAGATAAACGAAAGAGGAATGACATTTTTTCGATTCTCGAAGCTTTTTGTAAATTGGGCCTATTTACACAACGTTGCAATTACGATTAAATATTTTAATTTAATTTGCAATTATATTGAGATGCAAAATAAATTTTAACAAAATTCCCAACACCTAAAAAAATATATCAACTCCAGCAAAAGAGTTCTCAAAATTTTTATGTAGCCAAAATCTACTACCGTGAATATCAAAGTATATTACGTTAGTAACCACTTAATTTTGTGAATTTGTAGTATCACTAAGAATTGTTAAACGTCATTAAAGAGTAAGAACTATCGATCGCGCATTCGATAGATAGTTTTACTGTTATTTGATAATAATTTGACAGTTGCGATTTTTTTATTTATAAAAGTGAATTTTAGTAAACAAAAACTTAAAAATACGTAACAAAATAGTTTAAATTCACATCATACACTTTTTAATTTTTGCTATTGTCCTTATAAAAATTATTTTAATATTAAAATTTTACTAAACTACTGATAAATTTCAGCTAACTTTAGTAATTCGAGCAAGTAATTTGATATATTCAATAAATAAAAAAAAAAATGAAACAACAAAATTTTAAATTTTGGTATAAAGCCTGAATTCCATAAGATAATTTCCGTCTGTTATGTAAACATACAGACTTTGTCATATATTTATTCTTAAATTTTGTCATATACTTTAAATAATACCATACATAAACATTCTAGCAAATAATGTAAAAAATTTTTTGTAATTGTAAATGTAATTAAATTTACTTATTTATACTTAATATAATTTTTATACTTAATATGATTTAGGGTCAAAAAAAGTATTCTAAAATATTTCTGTAACACGTTTTTCTTTAATTACAGCTGATTGCAAATTTAGATTATTTACATATTCGTAGCATTAAAATAATTATCGAACAGAACATCCGTCTTGAATGATGTTACTTACGATTTTGAGTGAACGCAAAAAAAAAAAAAAAAATCCGACTGTCAAAAAAATTTTTTTTTTTCACTACTACATGTAAAAGCTTTCAGTTGGTTAATCGAAGAACATGGCCGCGAAGATTCGGTGAAAATTTTCATTAATTTTCATTTTTTTTTTTCCAAAATAGTTTAAGGGTCAAACTAAAATCTATATAAATATTTAAATCAAATACTTATAAAATATATTTTTTATTTTATAGAATAAAAAAGTGTCAAATATAATATTGAAAATTTAATTAAAAAAAAAAGTAATAATTCCAATGAGCGTAGGATGAGTTGCTGCTGCTGCTCTGTCGTAGTTTTCTTCGTTTCCATAATAGAAAAAAAAGAAAAGCAGAGTCAACCATTTTGACCTCATCATGAAGTTTTCTTAATACAAATAAAAAAAAATAATAGAATATAAAACTTAAAATAATTCTCAAAAAATATTTTTAATAAAAATTATTAGTTTACATATTTGAGGATTGTACAATCATAAACACCTATCAAATACAAGTTTCAGTAAAATTATCAAGGTTCGAAAAATTTAACATGAGTGAAAAGAATTACATACATACCTACCTTTATATATATTATACATAGATATATACATATATATATATATAAAGAGGCAATGACAGATCTTTCTAGGATAAAAACTTGAAGGTTTTGCTTTAAAAAAAAAAAATAGTTTGATGATTTGACATAAATTTCATAGTGCATACTAAAAAAATAAAAAGGATAAATTTTAAAAAGAAATTATAAAAGTTTAATCTTAAATTGCTAAAAGATTTATTAATATTCTAAAATTCGAAAAAAGAAAAAAAAGAGAAAAAATATGAAGTTGTAAAATTAAAAAAGTCTTAAATTTTGTCTTTAGTTTTTTTTTTTTTTGTAATAAAAGTGTTTTTTATTTTTAGTTGTTTATTTAAAAAAAAAATGTGTATTGTAAATTTAATTATATTGTGATTAATGTTGTCGTTTCATTGCACATAATTAGCCGTGTTATTTAAAAAAAAAAATCTAGTTAGCTTTCTAAAAATAAAAAAAAAATCATTTTTGAATTCACTTTGATAAAAAAAAAAATGGATACTGACACACAAGAAATTCGACAGGTAAATTATACGCTTTTTATTTTTTTAAATACATAAATTATTCTAAATTAAAGATAGTTACAAATGTTTATTTTTGATAAAATTAAATTATCTAAATTATTGGAAACTTCATATTATATGGGATGGGAATTGAAATTTAAATACCTACTCTGTTACAGAAAGAAAGGTCTAAAATCAAACCCCCTCCGCTCCATTCATTTCATAATTTTGAAATTTAACCTCTAAAACAATATTATTAATAATAATATGAAAAAAAAAAGAAAATTAAAAAACTTAACATTTCCATATGTGAAGTTGCTAGTTTTTAGATTTTATCCGTATTTTTTTTTGGATAAAACTCCTACATTAAATTACAATTTAACACCTACAAATATTTTTATAATTCAAATTTTTTGCAATAAAAAATCCATATTGAAAAAAAAAAAAATAAGTTTTAAATAATAATAATAATATACATACATGCATACATACATAATAGGTATATTTCTTTTATATTGAATGAAAAAAAAAAGAAAAAAAAATTATTAAAGATGACGTAAGCTACAAGTTAAACCCATTGAATTGTTTCAAGACGATTTTTTAATTCAAAAATTCTTATACACAATGTCATAAAAATTAATGTGTCTGTTTTTGATTTTATTTTAGAAAATTTTTATAAAAATTTTGCCTACAATATTTATTTTTGCATTATTTAAATAATTTGAAAGAGTTTTGTTAGAAATTAACATGATAAGTCTATAGGTATATTGACATGTTTTTGGTGGAATTTTTGCATTTATTAAACTCATGCAGAATTTGTAACGGCATAGAAAAATATTTGAAAAGGAAAAATTTCAATTCTCAATTCTAAGTTATTAGAATCACATTCTATTGAGAATATTTTTTTTAATATATCTAGGTACCTACTTCCATACAATTATGTTAATTAAAAAAAAAATAATTGTATGATTACAATTGTATATTGAAAATTTCTTTCGGCCACTCACTAGTTGGTGGAAAATTATTTTTTTTTTGTTCCTTTTTTATTTTTCTTTTGCCCTAATACATTAATGAGTAAAAATCCCTACTGTATCTGCTGGATAGGCAGATAAGTAATTACCTACCTAAATACATTTTGAATTTAGTACATTTTCCAAAAATTTTTATACAAATGTGCTAAAGTTAAAAATTTTTTTATGTTTCTTTATAATAAAATTTAATATTTTTTCTTTTGTATATTTTTTTAAGTCATTCACTGTACTTAAAAAGAAAAAAGATGAAATCGTTGTATTAATTTTAACCTATTTAATGTAGATATTCGTTCTATGGAAAACAAAATGTGAGTTAAAAAAATAATATTGTATTTGCTTTTCCCTTCTATCTGTAAGACAAAAAAAGAAAGAACAAAACAAAAATGTTGTAGGTACCTACATTTTAGCACATGCGAATTGATTTGAATTTAATTTTTTTTTTTTTTTAATTTTTTATTCAAGAAAAATAATAATAATAAAAAAAACATAAAAAATACAGACTTGTTGTCTTAAAATACCAAAAAAAAAATTTTATTAATGTGCCTAATTCCGAATTTTTAAGGTTTTCATTAATATTTATTCATGATTTTTGTAAAATTTTACAAATTTAAAACACAAATTACCGATAGTGTTGGTGTGTAACTACATAGGTACTATAAAATACTTTAAAACACCCAACTTATACAAAAATTTTAGTTTACTTATTAACTTAAATAGATTAATTTTCATATTATTTGTGAATTTTAATCTATAAAATGAAAAATATTTAAAAATTTAATTTCAATTAAGGTTACCAATCATCAGAGTATGTATACTTTTTTTAATTGCATTTTTATTAAAATATTTTTAACAATTTATGAGATTTAAGTAGTTCTGAAATTGGCGACCAACTTTAATATTTTAATTGTTCTTAAGAAACCCCTGAGAAATGAATACTTTTTCAAAATAAATTCAAATGGACACTTGAAAAATTCAATGATTTTTTCTTAAATTTACTTAAAATGCATGTACGTACGTATCTAGATACATATAAGTAATTGAGTAGAAACACATCTTGTAGTAAGTACGAAAATAATGTTGAAAAATAGATAATAAAAAGAAAATGAGTCAGAAAAACTGTTCTGCTTACTTATTGTTTTACTTATTGTTTTTCGGCTCTTCTTTTATTTTTGTTTTCTGTTCATTCAACTGAAAAGTTTTTATTTTAAATACTTGCGAAAAAAAAAATCTATCTTGTTCTTTTGTTATTCTCATATTACGTACATACATACATATTTACGTATATATATAAAATAGCAATCCAAATAATAAAGAAAAGCTTATTTAAAATTTTTAAATAATTTTTATTTTTTTTTATAATAATTGTTGTAATTCGAATTAAAGATTTTATCTTCATACCTACTTATTTTACTTATTAGTTTTTTCAAATTTAAAGTTTTTAATAAATTTATCCATAATTTCAATATGAATATAATAAGCTAATTTACTGATCAACAATATACACATACAATAATAATAATTTAAAAGAATGTGTACTGCACGTAATATATTTATGTAGGTACCGATGCATATTATGCATATAAGGATCGTAGAATCAAAATCCATACATATTTGCCGATTAACTAGTTTTGAGGGAAAGAGAAAAATTATTTTGTTAATAATTCAGCACTCATATTTCAAATTATATTTTTTATTTTCGGGCAAAAAATTGAGCTTCAACCTTTTTTGTAAAAAAATATTAAAGATAAACAAGAAATTTTGAACAAAAAAAAACGCAATTTAAAAATACTGTAAATGGTGTATGTATTAATTTTTAAAGATGAAATATTGAAAAAAAAAATCTCGTCAAAGATTTTTATAAGGAAAGACTGAAGGACTGGGAGTAAACCGTC